TTTTTTTTTTTTTTTTTTTTTTTTTTTTTTTTTTTTATAAGGGTAAGGGAATTGGAAGAATCTCTGAAGATAAGAAGAGATTTCGAAAAATTGCAACAACGTTTGAATTTTCGCGATACCAATTACGTGGACTACGTCCGAACCGGAATTTATGCAGGTCGCCCCGTTCCAAAATAATTTGCATAATAATTACGAGACAACGCGTGCGACGTGAATTTGCATATTATTGTTGTATATCAACGTATTTTTTTAGCCGGGTGCGATTAAAATCACAATGGGATTTTTGTATTCTGTCTGTAGGAAACAGGGTTTGCAATTTATCCCCCGAAGATCGGATTTATTTCAAGGTTTCCAACAGATCATTCGAGACCCTCTGTTCGTTATCACAAACGAGGGCAATTGCAGTGGAAACACAGATGGATCAAACACATTTGTTAGAGGAGAGGTCTCTCCTTAGTCTTTCCCTTGAAATGAAATCTAACAATGGCCCTGATCTTGTTAGAAACTGAGACTTTTCTCTTTTATATATATAAAAGTCGCTTTATTGCTCCGACGATTTAAAAATTTCCTTCGTCTCGTGTTATTATAGAATTCATATTTCAGTTGGAATAAATTCTCCAAATTGAACTGTGTTTTCAATTATTCTTAAGAAAATATTTGGTTATTCCAATTTTTTAATCTATCAGAATCGCTTTCTCTTGTTAATTCGCCATTTTGGTACGCGAAATTTGTCGTATCATTTTACACAACTCGAAAAAGTAGATAAATAAATCAAATTATTATAATTGAATCGAAAATGTGTACGCTTCTTGAGTAGCATATTTATTGTAAAGTATAAATTATATACGAACTAAGTAATAAAACAGTTATATAAATATTTCCACTGTATTATATTTAAAGTTGCAATTTAAATTGATATTAATTATATACGATGCATGTAAGATGGCAAAGTTATACCAAGCTCTGTATTCATTTCAAAGTCTCGGTAGCACGAGCTTATCGCGGTCATAAGCTTATCGTTTATAGAATTGATATAAGTATTCTTGAATATCTGGCAGGGATTTACAGGCGACAAGCCTGTAATAGGAAATTCGATTTCCGTGATCCGACGAAAATTGAAACAGAATCCTTCGCGTGAGCCTTCTATAAAATGTTATGACGTATCATTCCTCCTTCGTATCCGCAAACATTCGACAGAATTGGCCCATTAACCCGTTGAAAACTCAACTAATTTAAAATTTTCTCCGACGAATTTACTTCAACCATTATTACCTAACTTAAAATTACTCGAACGGCATTTACGCGTGAAATAAAATCGAGAGAAAAAAAAGCATCTCGCGATATTATTACGCTCCGTGAATCAAGCAAAAACTTGTCTAAGAAAAAAGAAAACAAGAAGAGAAAAAAAAGTGTTTAGATAGACGCGTGGCGTGAAGCGACGTTTCTACTTGGTTCTACTTGGCGCATGCGCGTTCGCCTGAGTCCGAGTTATTCCATCGGACGAGCATCGCAATTAAGCGGGCAACGATGTGTGTCTCCACTGTCGTTCGCCAACCGTGAAAAGAGTCTCGCGTTGCGTGCCGTCTCGGCAAATCACGCGAGGATCAAGGAGCGTTTTAAGAAGCGTTTACGAAAACTAAAATTTATCTTCTTCCCGTATCAATTTTCTTTTCTTTGTTTTTTCCTCTCTCTGACCATTCTCTCCGTTCATTCTGCCTTAAGAATTGCGGCGAGAGATTTGTGCAATGAGCGTGAACAGAGGACAGAACTATTTGCATGGAAATCGCTATATAATAAGAAGGAGAAACTTTTCGCTTCCTCCACGAAACTCTTCGACGAAAAATTCGACAAAGTCGATTTGATATTCGACTTTTAGTATCCCTTTGAATGGGTGATCCACGCACTGGGGAAAGACGTGGGTGGGGTTTGGTAGTTCGAGTTGCTTTGTAATCGCTAATGACGCAGCAGCGACCGGCCACCAATGCATTAAAATGCACGTGTAACCACGCGGTAAGCGGCTTACAATCCGTATGGCGAGGGCCCACAGTCCATATTTGGTACCCGGTGTGACCACGGCCTAATAAAGTCGAAACTGTAAGAGGATCATCGTCCGGCCACGAAAGGGGTAACCTAAGCGTTCGTAATATCCCACCAGATTGAACGATACCATTTTACCACGCGTGCACGATCGTACAAATGTATATATTTCCAATTTCACGATATTTTTTCCATTTGAGGAGCACTTAGATTTTATAAATTAGATTTTATAAATTAATCGATCCGTGTGATCGTCGACGATATAGTCGAAATTCGAAGAGGTGATGAATATCGATTTTATCGGTGAAATGTAATAGGCAATTGTAAAAATTTCTTAAAAAACGGTGATAAAATTTATATTAAAAATTGCTTAAAGGAAAGAGATTCAAAATATTGTAGAAATTTTACATCCAGTCCAGTCTAATAATCGAGAAAAATAATTAATCATGCGAGGTTTATATTGGAGTGTATATATACGTAATGAAGGTTAGGATAGTGAAGGATTCAATTAGA